TATATCACGTAGGACGTCCCATTTAGTTCTTTGTCACAGTCAATAATATACGTTTGTCGAGCGAGGCAGCAAAAATAAAAACGTCGCTTTGTAATAGCTTAAGGAGGAACCTGCTCTTTCCTGCCTCGTCTCCTGTAGTTGACTCTGACGTGGTTTCATATTTCACTCGATCTACCAAATGAGGTTCGCGTTGAAGTTTCTGCGATGTCACATTTTTGTCTCCGTTCTAGATGCGATAAATATTTAAGAAGTCATTATAAGAATGCGTTCCAAAATTTGAATTTCAGAATTGGATCATTCGGAATGTAAGTAGGATAGGAGATACAATTTTAAATTCACGGACTTTTTCTGTATTTCTATGTAGCATTCTTATTTTAATTGGAAATCAAGAAAATCACTAGACGTAAAAGAAACCCTCTATTTACTCTCATCACATTCATCCGGATTTTACGAGGAATCTTTTATTGCTATTTGTATCGCTTTGATGTACACAAATAGCTGTTGACTGAGCTGGCGCTCTGAAATCATTGGACTTGCCGGAGGATCAAGACGGATATTGATATACCTATCGCGCAAATTCAGAAAGACTGGCTCTGGCAAAGTTGTAGAAACCGCTGAAAGTAGGGAAAGAGTTTGATTGAATGCACAGTCTGTGTTGGTTAATGGTGGGCTAGACTTGGGTGCAGGGAAATCCTAACTGATTTTCTTTACCTCGAGGGTATACGCGTAGAAATTGAGCGCGTCTGGCCTTTGGTTTCAATAGACATTTTAACTGCGCTTGTGGTACAGAGGTATTACGATAGAAAGTCAATAAATGCTCCATTTTTTGCTAAAATGACACCTAAGAGTATTTTTTATCACTATTTTGGGATTAATATACAAAACCTAAAATATGCTTTTCGAGATACAGGATGTTAAAGTGGTACTTACCCAATAAATTTTCTTTCTACAACTAACACTAAAGTAGACCTGCAGAGCCGTTTTATTTCATTAGTGAAGAACTTGACAAGTTAAAACAAGTCGATGTTATCTATATCGACTTCACTAAGGCTTTTGGCAGATTCTCGACCACGACATCTTGTACAAACTGGATAGATTCGGTGTGTCTGACGCACTATTTCAACTTTTTCAATCATATTCACAAAATAGGTATCAGTTTGCACAATGTCATGGTTTTAAGTCTGACAAGTTTCATCAAATATCTGGTGTGCCTTAAGGTTCTACACTCGGATCCTTACATTTTGTTTTGTTTATAAACGACATCACGAGTACATTGATTGTTAAAGGTGACGGTATACACTTGACGTTATTTGTTGGTGGTGCTAAAATAAGATATTTTTTGTTGTGCGACTTATAGTATAAAAAATGCATTACTTAAGTAGCCACGTATGCCTCATATACTCCAGTCGAGTTACAGTTTGAACGTGAAAAAAAATATTTGTATACGTTTTTTATTGCACTTTATGACGAGAAAGGATATGTAGAGTAGACAAATTGCAAATTTACGTGTTTTTTTTTTACATTTTATACTGCCCACGAATATCTAGGCGATCGATCAGAAAATTAGTTATTTTATGTTGTTGGCAATTAAATTACCTACAATTTAAGGTGCCTAGAATCATTTTTTATCAATTTGTTAACTGTAAAATAAAAGGAGAACGCGGAAAAATCAGTTTTCGAAAATTGCGCATTATTATTGCAAAAAGCGATGGATGTTGATGAAATTTAAGGAAGAGACGGTCAATCCAAAGACCAACACGTGTGCCAAAGGTCAATTCGATTGACCGTGAAATTGTTGCCCCAGGTATTTGTTAATTAATTTCGTTCATATTTTTGCAAGTAATTGTTTAATTACTGAACGTAAATTTTAGAAGTTAATATCGTAGATATAGGCTCTAATTGATCCAACGTATCGAAAAAGAAACTTCAAAAAGTTGAAATTGAGTAGCCCTTTATAACTAACAAAACAGGACGTGCAAAACAACGTTATAAACAAATTGTCTCAGGGTCAGGCAAAAGCCGCTCGGGAATTCGCTCTTTTTGCATTAAATAGAGCTTATTTTTACGGTAATTTTTAAGAAAAGAGAAATTACCTACGCACATTGGGATTTCTTGGTATATTTATGGACAAAATTCTTGTGACAAAAGAATTTTCATCCAATCGTAGCTATTTTTTTAAATACTCGTAAACATCTGTACTTTAAGAGGAATTACGGAAATTTCGATATTCTTAAGCCCTAAATTATGGCAAGTCATCTTATGCCTATTCACGCAATTCACATATTTGAACTCTGCGCATATTTTTGGACAAAAGCTCTAGATTCTGAAATTCCCTTCGAATCATAGCAGTTGTTTTTAAATAGTTTTATACTTTTGCTAGAATTTAATAATGGGTTTAAGGGATTTTTGATAAATTCTCAAGTGCTAATTCGCTAAACTTCATTGAATGCTATCTCTGAGTTGAAAAATATACCAAACAAATTCAAAATGGGTTTTGACAGACTCGAGTGATACTTTCTCATGGTATATAAGATTTAAGAATAATTAATTAATTTAAGATGTAATATAACCTCAAAGTTATCGAAAAACAATGATTTTCGTCCTTTTAGCTTAGGATATCTCAAATCCTGAGATGATGAAACAATTTTGAAAAGGGATTCGGTTTCGCACTAAAAACTTTCGTAAAAATTTTGTCTGGTTTCTGGATTGTAGGATTTTTTTATTTTTGTCGGTAAACATAATAATCTTGGATCGTAAAGCTTTTTGTTCAAAAATATGCGCAGAGTTCAAATACGTGAATTGTGTGATTAGGCACAAAATGACATAGTTTAGGGTTTAAGAATATCGAAATTTCCGCAATTCCTGCTTAAAGTACAGATGTACAGTATTTAAAAAAAATCGTTACAATTGGATGAAAATTCTTTTGTAACAAGAATTTTGTCCATAAATATAACAAAAAAATGCCACTGTGTTATGCCTCTTTGTCCCCAAGATAGATTTTTTTATAACATTAATTGTTAATTAACTATTGGACGTATCGGACCTGGATCTTAGAGACAATAAAGAGAAAGTTTTCCATTGATAGTTCATGTAATAAACGAGCTAGCAGCAGTAAAAGTTAACAATAATGAACGGCCTGCACACGGGAGGAGCGCAAGGCCCGCACATGCGCGTGAGCGTCGCTCTCGTCGCGCGCGAGATTTTTGACTTGAACGTTTCAAATATTTTTACGTTCGGCCTTTATTTTACAGTTAACAAATTAGTGAAAAATGACTGTAGGTACCTTAAATTGTAGGTAATTTAATTGCCTACAACATAAAATAAATGATAATTCCGATAGGTCGTCTAGATTTTCGTGGGCAGTAAAAAAATTGAAGAAACATGTAAATTTGCAACTTATTTGCAATTTGCCAACTTAGCGTCATTTTTTTTACTATTTTAATATTATCATTATTCTTCTTCCCCCATCATAAAGTGCATTAAAATGTCTACTAATAATTTTTTCAAGTTTTCTGGTTTTATGATCTAATTCGAGTGGAATAATATTGTTTGTTAACTGTTTGTTTTGTTCTTTATATTTGTAAGTTCGTAGTTTTTTCTCTTTTATATTTGATTCATTTTTTTTCTTTTTTTCATTTTTCTTCTCTGTTGGATGTGTATTTTTTGAATAAATTGAAATTAAGTAAATTCAAATTGTGAAATGTCATCTACTAAAAGACACATAATACAATCCGAGCAAAGACAGGGATTTTTTTTTAAGATTACTATCATATAAAACATTTCGAATTAGGTTTTTATAAATTATTTTACCGTTTTTATGAATTAATTCAGATGATATGAAATGAATTTCTATAAATAAGTTAAAAACTTACCTGGTTTCATGTAAGAATAATTTGACGTGACAATTAAAAGACAAACATTAAAATGTTTTTATAGCATTATAAGTTTCCAAATCAGTGCAATTCAGTCCACACCAATCTCGAGTTGGGAATTTAATTATGTTAAAATCCAAGCGCAAATTCATCATTTTCCCAACCATGTTGTCTTTTTAATTTACCTGTTCCCATTTTGACGAGGCGCTAATGGTGAATAAATCTTGAAGTGGTTCGAAAAAATTTGAGGATACTGGTAAAGGGTTGTACTGTACGTAACGCAACGCGTATATTAAATAAACTTTTATTTAACATTAATTGGATACAATTGACAACATATGATAAAACAGTACAAAATTATATACACGAACATTCATATATGCACTTTTTTTAACATTTTCCTTTAGATATACAAACTTTATCGTCTAAATTCATAGATATACACACTCAGTAAAAATATATTTAAGTACAGTGGTCCAGGGATATCATTTTCAAATGAAACCTAACCTAAATGTTAGGTATATAGACAGCTGAGATGGTTGGTCTAACTTTGCGAGGAACTCTGGCTAAGAGGTACGAGGTACGAAGGGTAATTGAGGAACGACAATAAATGAAATGAATTGTTGAGACGGAATCCCTGACAACGTTTTGCTTGGTTAAAATTTGTCGAGTGATTCGGATTCGGGGTAATTTACAAACCAGCTTTAAAACGCAATTTAGGCGTAATTTTATAATTACAGCATAATTTCTGGTTCAGTTATCACCGAGTCCAACGAGGTTAATAACGATCATGGCGGCGTTGATGAGCTGACATTTGTTTGAATAAATTCGTAAAAGGATTTACGGTATCCAAATGGGAATAATAATATACCACCCCTTTTCTTGTTTAAGTCTCTCATCCGAATACAGGAAATAATCTACAATGTTTCAAAAATTAAAGAGCGGATTTCTCCAATCAAGTTTACAATTAATTCAAAAATTTTTTTTGTTGCAAACGCAATTTTAAATATTAACTATTTGCTATATTTAGAACAAAAAGTTCCTATACATTTTACTAAAAACGAATAATTTTTAATCTATTTTCAATTTATCGAACTATATGATAAATTTATACAGGGTGTAACAAAAATAACGTTCTACAAACCACTATATTTTTTTTTATATTTTTCCAAACGTCTTTTCTCGTAACTTTTACTTTGCTAACGATTTCTATATTGATAAAACGGCTGATTTTTTTGAACACTTTATCATCCTTATTTCAAAAAATGGGTTTCCAGGACAAATGATTATATAAAAAATATTTTTGACAAGTTTTTGTGTAACAATTTGTATAATTCTAAAACTTAACGCATCGTCTATACGAATTGCGGATATGTGTCAAACGGTAAAAGCTATCCAAAAAAAATCAAGAAATTACTCTTGTTCAACATTAAATATGCAAATTTTGGAATTATGATAAAAAATATATATTTTTTCCAGTGGTGGACAATTTTTGATAAAATAATGCCAGCATACCCCATATCTGCGCAAAAAAAGTATACGGTTCCATTTAAAATATTCAACTTGACCTCTAATGACCTTCAAGGTATTTTTTTTAACTTTGGACGAAGGAAAATGTTTCTTCAGCGTTACACCCTCTTTATCGGTAACATTTTTTGAATATTTCTAAGAATTAAAAACCTCTACTTTGTAACTGAATTTTTTTTCGTTTAATTTGAAATTTTATTTTATTTGTATGACGTCACTAAGTGAAAAATTAGGAAAATCCCTAAATATCCGTTCGCATACCGATTTTTAGGTAGGATTCTGTAAATCCAATAATTCCTCATCCCTCACTAGAGGTCGTTGCGGTTTCTTTAATAACTGGAAGGAAACCACCACTACCAGATTGAACGACAGATAAGAATTTCAAAAATTACAAATTTGGCGGTAGATTTGAAATTTTTGCTCAATGACATTACAACACAAATTATTTTTATGACTTAAATGAGGTCAAAATGAATAATGAAAAAATACGGGTCTCGTATTTTTTAACGTAATTTCTTTTCGTGAAGCAGTTCAAAAACTGGAAAACGCCCGATTGTACTAATTCCTGCTCCTTTCAATCAGCATGTCGGCAGTAAAATTGATAATGGAGGCAATCTGAGAATAATTGGGTCCTAAAACTAAAACCGGTGATATCCACTACCTCCAAAACCCCACTAAAACGGAATCTCAGTATAACGTAACCGTTCGCCAATAAAACCCAACCCAAATTTACTACGTCTGTGTTCTGGATGTCAGGATTAAGGAAGAGCTTCGACGCTTGTTGTTTGTGTACAAAGTGTTAAAGTTTCCTATAACAGATGACAGATACGCGTCTCGATCTAGCGGCGAAACGGCGTCTTTCAGAAACGCCACGGGGGAAAAACCTCAATTACACAACCGGCGCTATTTCATTCTCTTAGCGGAGAACAAAAATGTAATATGAGGACTCCGTTAGAGACAGCTTGCTTTATATACTTCTCTTTGTCGTTTTTATCCCACACCTGATTTATTTTTTATCCCACACCTGATTTATTCCCATTCTGAAGCACGCGAGGGACAATAAAACCTTGAAGGCTCGTTAAAATATCCACTCACCAGTTCATTTCATGTATCAACTTCGACGGCTACAGGGTTTTTAGTTTAAGACATTACCTCTAAGTCTGTATATTGCTATAAGCTGTGGCACAGGTAACAGTATGTTTATGCATATCGCGACTTAGACGCACTGCGCTATGCCCTCGTCGTTGTTCTTCACCAGCATGCTAGAAGCCCTTCTATCCGCGACCCACTGGGAGGCTCTCCGACCTATGGCCCCTAGTCATACCTTCTCCTTGCCGTTGGCCGGGTAAGAAGACCTCACGTACTGAAAACGAGAAGAAAATAGTTATTTTTGTATCCAGAACGCGAAATGGTACTTTCGCGTTCAAGAATGGAAGTTATTATCCATTAGAGAACGCAAAAGCATTTTGCGTTCGAGATGCAAACGATATTTTTTCGAAAACTGCATAAAATAAAACAATTGTGTTGTATGTCGACTTTTGACGACAGTTTTCGAAAAACGATATTTTAACAAGAAAATTGTATGGAAACTTCAAACAAAACAAAATGTGATTAAATTAGAATTAGAGGTGGGATGATTCGAATCAGAAGTGGGATATTCGAATCAGAAGTGGGGTAATTGGAATCAGAAGTGAGATAATTGGAATCAGAATAAAATATATTGTTTCTTGCTAACTCTAGGTATTTCTTTATTTTCGTATAAAGTGATGAATAAAGATATAAAACAAATTAAGTTTTTCTTGTTAACAGCGTATTAAACGAATCGAGAGCTTGGGCCTGGGTTTGAGTTATTGAATTAAGCAAAACACCGGGACTCGACAGAGTGACAGAACCCCCTCTATCGATTGAGAAAAGTGAATAGATTGCGGGGTCGAGGCACCAAAAAGCGCCTTATTACGGCCCGATGCTCTTTTCCGAGGACTTTAAAAACAAATTGCTGCGAAACAAAAACGTAATTGGCTCCGGTCTCAGCTGAAGGCAGATATAACGTGGTCCCGGCGTGTCTGTAAGCTAAGTCGTATTAAATGCGTTACTGGCCCTGTAACTTTACTGTGTTGTTGTACCTTGTTAGACCCTATTTTACTAAGACGCCGTGACGCCTTTACAAAAAGTTTTTATGAATACACTTAAAACGGACATACTTTTAGGGTAAATTCAGTCTCTTAACAAATGGAACGAGATTTATCATTATTCGCTTTATCTGCCCCCAGGGCAATCTTTTTAACGATTTACGCGACTTGTTTTTTTTTTAAGGATTAAAATTCTTGAAAGCCGTCGCAAAAATTATTCACCCGGAATAATTTAGATGCGCTCTCCTTTGGGAACGGCGCTGTTATGTTTTTTTTTTCAGATAAAAACATCCATAAGCTTCGAGCGAAACCTACAATTCATTGTAGGGGTTTTTCGCTTTTAATTAAATTCACATACAGACATATTTACATAATACAATCACATGAAGGCATGCACGCACACACATAATGAAGTTTCAAATGTAAATGTTGATAAAGCGGCGAATTCGAGCAACCTCGGAAAGTAGACAGGTCGCTCGGGTGGCTCGTGTGGAAAATGTCGCGACGAAACTTAGAAAAGAAAACACCTCTGGGAGTAGAATAACCAGGAAAGTTTAAAAATAAAGTAATATGTGCATAGGAAAGTTTAAAAATAAAGTAATATGTGCAATTTTAACAGTAAAACGGAATAAGATCGAAAAACTTGAAAAAAAAATTGTATAACACAAAAAAAGTTCTGTACGTTTCATGCGACATATGTTATCCGTTGTATGTTTGCTTCATGATCACGAATCCGGTGTCAGAATTGAGCTATCACATCACAGAAATTTCCTAACCTCAAAAAACAGGTCAAAAATAGTAAAAATTCACCAAAAAAGTGCTAGGAAAAATACAAAAATTTTTTTTTCTATATTCAAATGTTCATTTATATGGTTAAGACCCCGCCGAATGGGAATCGCGCCAAATTTGGTATACGGGGGTTTTCAGGGTCGCTGAACACGGATCCAAGGTAAATTTTGCAAAATTCAAGATGACAGATCCAAAATGTCCGACCAAATTTTAAAAAAATAACAGATTCGCGCCAAATTTGGTATACGGGGGTTTTCGTGGTTGCTGACCACGGATCCGAGGTCAATTTTGCAAAATTCAAGATGGCGGATCCAAGATGGCCGATCAAATTTTCAAAAAATTACATATTCGCGCTAAATTTGGTATACGGGGGTTTTCGAGGTCACTGATCACGGATCCGAGGTAAATTTTGCAAAATTCAATATGGCGGATCCAAGATGGCCGACCAAATTTTCAAAAAATAACAGTTTCACGTCAAATTTGGTATACGGGGGTTTTTGGGGTTACTGATCATGAATCCGAGATCAGAATTGCGAAATTCTGTTTGTAATAAATTTGTTTTTTTTATAACCTAAGTTCTTTTTTTCGGCTATATCTTCTTTTTTCGGTAAATGATTTATGAACGGGTTTTTTGCCTAATCTCAGGTTAGAAAGTAACGAATATAGGTAATTGATTACATTTTTAAAAACGAATTTTGTAAATTTGATCTCAGATTCGTGATCAGCGACCCCGAAAATCCCCCAAATTTGGCGCAAATTTGTTATTTTTTGAATATTCGTGATATCTGGCCTTAATTGACCTGTTTTTTTGATGTTAGAAAAAAAGCCATCAATTCTGACTGCGGATTCACTTTCGGCAGGATCTTAACCATATAAATAAACATTTGAATATAGACAATTTTTTTAAATTTTTCTTAGCACATTTTCGTGTCCCAGTTTTTTCAGGTTAGGAAATTCCTGTGATGTGATAGTTCAATTCTGACACCGGATTCATGATCAGAAGGCAAAAATACTACGGATAACATATGTCGTATGAAAAGTACAGAATACTTTTTTGTGTGGGGCTGTGTAACAGAATAGAATATTAAAAGAAAAGATGAATAAAAATCATTAGGATGGAAAAAGCAGCGATGAAAATAAAGAAAATCTTTGGAAGCAGAGTTCAGAAAATTAAAAAATAAAACAATAAAAGCATATTAAAAGAAAAAGAGAATAAAACTTGAAATATTCGGAAAGCAGAAATTGTATAAAATTAAAGATACTAATACAAACAAATTTTGGGCAAATAGATTTCGTAAATGGTTAAATATTTTTCCTTAAAATTACTAGAAAAAAAAAAACGATATTTTATGAAAAACCAGTTCTTCGACAGGATTGTTGCAGGATTCGTTGTGGGACACCTTGTATATGTTCGTACGAAGTAATATATAAGGCGGTGGTTACACTGGATGCGAATTCGTACGAAAATATATTTGTACGAAATGCCATATTAAAACAAATATGTTCTCCTCATATGAGAGGTTACACTACAGTATTAAACAATTTGGATAAATTATTTTACTTGATTTAAACTTTAACAATGAAGTGGTGTAATACGAATTATTTGTTTAGAATTCGTATGATTTCATACGAACAGATTTTGGTACGAAATCTCAACAAACTATTCGCACAAATGTATACAAATCACTGATGCGACCAATTTTTATCTGTTGTCGAGTTTGTACGAATAGCATGACATTTGTATCAGTCAAGTGTCAAAGAAAATGTATGTGACGTATGAAATACGGTCAATAAAGGACCAAAAATGTAAGTAACAGTCACAATAGGGAACAATTTAGAACTGTTTTATCGAAACCTTTACAACGGAGTAAAAAATTAACACTGTGGTACAACGAATTCGTTTCTTTCACACGATTTCATTTGACTTGGTACGAATTCGCAATAAGTGTAATCACCACTTAAGGATGACGGAATAAACTATTGTAACTTCTTTACCAACAGATGACGTAGTGCACATCTTAGTGAGAAAAGTGAGGCACAAGCTTTAAAAAACGCATGCACCTTGCAATACATGTAGCTTATTAAGTAGTTAAAGCTGCAAAAATTGCGATCAGTAAAAATATTGGCGTGATTTTTAAATATGTTGACGGATTTTGGTTACTTTGCCACAACGCACATATATTCAATAATAATAATAATAATAATCCTATTTATCAGTTTAATCGCATGGATTAGCACGAAAGTAAAATATTCATGAGGGGGAGGAGGCAGCATATTATTATTGATCAGGGCAAGTTTTCTTTCTAAGGAAAATCGTGGCAAATATACCAAAAATAACGTCATGGAGTGGTGAAAACAATTCGAAAAATTCAAAAACACATGATTCGTGGTAAAGCCAATCCTAGTAGGTTAGTTTTACTAGTACCTTACGTACCGAGACGGTGGTCACTGTGCACGAGTTGGCCCTTGGCCGAAACATCGCCGTGCTCCATTTCCTCTTGATTTGGGCTTGGACCTGCGGAACATAAAAATCTTTCATAAAACAGCATGGCGGAGCACTTCGATTACTTTGAGCGTCAAACTCTTCAATTTTATGTACTTATACCAAGCACTAGGGTCTATGTGATTAGTCACTAGTTGATTATAGTCGCTATATATGTAATTCTGCAACTTTGCTTCAGATTCCATATCTGATATTTCTCATTCCAGATTAAGGGGGGCGTTTATGTGTACAATTTTTTGTCCAGCATTTTAGAAAATCTAAGCAAGTTAGAAACAGTATCGCTTCACTGTACCAGTTATACAGGGTAGCCCATCGAAAACGTACCGCAAGGCATTACAGGGTAGTAATGAACTTTTCGGCAAAATCCAAAAACAGGTCAAATTTGTTTCTGAGGGGGACAACTTTTGGCTCAAAAAGCATACCAAAATCTTCAACCCCCTAAGTGGGGGTGCTATCCCCTAAATTTTTTCAAATGGGAATGGGGGTCAAGTGGGGGGTCATTAGAAAGGGCTTTTAATTCTCTATACATCGATTCTTACTTTTTGAAAATCGATTCATTATTTTAGAAAATATGCAGCTTTGAAAATACGAACAATATTTTTGACGAGAAATGCGAAAATCGATTTAATTTTACTTCAAAACTTACGGTATTAGTCAAGTAAATGCTGAAAATGTTGTCCGCCAACTTGCATACAATGATACAGGTTGTCTTCAAACCGTTGTCGAACATTCTGGAGCACTTGCGGTGTTACTTCGCGACATACATTAATGATTCGTCCTCGCAGATCTTCCAAGGTATCAGGTGGAGTGCTGTAAACTTTGCTTTTAATGTGCCCCCAGAGAAAGAAATCTAAAGGATTTAAGTCGGGTGACCGAGGGGGCCACTCAATTGCACCTCTTCGTCCTATCCAGCGTCCTGGAAACGTCTCATTTAGGTAATTGCGCACATTGAGCGAGTAATGTGGAGGAGCTCCGTCTTGCTGGAAAATCAGTTCGTGTTCATTGTAAGCAGGGTCGTCCTCTATGATATTTGTTAGAGCTGGGTCGATGACATTTTGTAGTAAATCCAAGTACATATCGCCTGTCAAATTTCCAGGAAGGAAAAAAGGACCTACAATGGAATTTCCAAAAATACCTGCCCATACATTCAACTTCTGGGGGTGTTGGGAGTGTGTCTCATGGAAAATCCTTGGATTGGTATCAGCCCAGTAACGACAATTATGGCGATTCACTAAACCATTCAAGAAGAACGTACACTCGTCCGAAAAACACACATTAAAGAGGAAATTATCGTTTATCGCTCGTTCAGTCATTATTTCGCAAAATTGCAAACGACGATCAAAATCGTCTTCATTTAGCTCTTGCACTAGCCGAATCTTATAAGGATGGAATTTGTATTTTTTTAATATTCGTTGGACACTTGTACGACTCACTCCTGTCGCAGTAGCCAATTGCATTGTACTCAGCGTACTATCCATTGCCACTTGCCCCAATACCGCTATTTCCGTAGGTTCATTTAGTACCGGATTTTCAACCTGCCTCTTTTTGTTATGAACGGAGCCAGTTTCGCGAAATTTGGCCACCAATTCGCGAACAATTTTTCCAGACGCATGTTTCTCAGGATGCCGTTGGTTGAACAGTTCGGCGACCCGATTTCCGCATTCATTGTTTTTGAAAAAAAGCTCAATAATTTCTACTCTTTCTGGAATTGAGTACACCATAATTAATCAATTTAAAAGACTCGGCAGTATTGGTACTCTTCAACTACAAGTCACAAGACAGTTATCTAGCAACTTCTTGTGGCCTATCTAAATACGAAACAAAAAGCGGACAATTTTTTGCTCACCAAAATCAGGCTAAAGAATTCGCAAATCAGAAAAAAAAACAGCGAATTCTTTTGAAGGAATTTACCAAGCTAATACCGTAAGTTTTGAAGTAAAATTAAATCGATTTTCGCATTTCTCGTCAAAAATATTGTTCGTATTTTCAAAGCTGCATATTTTCTAAAATAATGGATCGATTTTCAAAAAGTAAGAATCGATGTATAGAGAATTAAAAGCCCTTTCTAATGACCCCCCACTTGACCCCCATTCCCATTTAAAAAAATTTGGGGGATGGCACCCCCACTTAGGGGGTTGAAGATTTTGCTATGCTTTTTGCGCCAAAAGTTGTCCCCCTCAGAAGCAAACTTTACCTGTTTTTGGATTTTGCCGAAAAGTTCATTACTACCCTGTAATGCCTTGCGGTACGTTTTCGATGGGCTACCCTGTATAAGTTTTCTTCAGGGTATAAGGCAACTGACAGTGCATTCAAAATAAGGAAAAAAGCATACTTTTACTTCGTATGTTTAACTTACGTTTCCTAAATTTTGCACGTCTGTTGAACATACAGAAAATCGCCTACGTTACCATAAACATAATCACACCCTGTAGAATCGTTTTAGGAAACTATTAACACATGTATTAATCGGAATTGTTGAGTATATTTACAAATTTGCTTGACAAAAAAGAGAAATGGTTCATTTTCTGATGTTTACATGTACCTCGTGATCTTTCAATGCAAAAAATTAAAGGAAGTTGCTCTAGTTTAGCGTTACGTTTTCGAATTTTTGAGAAAATTTTTTAAATCTGGAAAAATCAGGAAATTTCTCTGCATGGGTTTCATGGAATTCATTTAAATTCCATTTCCAGTCGTGAATTACGAAAATCGAGTGTTTTATCATATAGATTACGCAATATAACCATTATTAGCCAAATTCGAATATTAAAACATGTACTTGTATGTGCAAAAATATGTAGATCTGGATTAGGCTTGAGCAATACAGTCTTTCCCGGTTCTGAACCGAAATGTGGCAGAAACCTGTCTCTGCAATCACCGAACAAAAGCAGAAACTCAAGCATACATCTCCAACCATCGGTAGTACAAGAAGTATTATTATTATAATACTTACCTCGCCGTTGCAGAAACAAAAGAGGATCGCCACACAAAGCCCCTGAAAAATAGGGAAGGATTAGTAAGGCAGCCCTGGCTCCGGAGGAACTCCGCGCCCCAGCTATCCGGTAATTACAAAGCAAATTAATCGCCGTTCGACAAAACATTCCCGAGTCGACAAAATGGGGGTAATAACGGGGGCTTCCGGCGTTCCAGATATTGTACCGAATGAATGATGTATCTCGGGGTATTACAACATTACTCGGGTCTTTCGGATGTTATCCTAGCGCAACAACAACGAGATATTTCGGGAAAAGTTATATTGTGTTCGCGGTGCGATAGATTACGGCCGGATCGACGAAAGTCAGAGATGTGGTGGCTAAATTTAGAACGACTAAAAACTGGTTATATGAGTGTTGATGGCAGAGGAAAAATTAGTACCTAAGTATTAAATTTTGGACTTTAGGCCAAGCAAATAAATTTTTACTCGAAAAAAGTCCTATCCGCGAGATTATTGTAAAATTGTCTAAAGGAACATAATACAAGACATCTCTCATCTCGTGAGTCAAAAACTTTTATTAGCTAACTTTTTTATTTAAACAAATAAGTGAGGGAAAACCATCAATTTTAGCGAAAAGTGACTCTCAGACAGCTTGTAGGGAGTAAAATTATCTACAAAATGAGACTTGTTAAATTTAAATCGATTAATAAACAAAAAAGTTAATGCAAAAAACAAGAACGTGCCCATTTTTTAATTTGTTTATAACTATCGCATTTGGTGTTAAAATTTTATAAAACCTATGATAAGTTGAGGGTTTTCTCATACTTCAAAAGTGTGCCAAAAGTGGGCGCTGTAGGTGCAATAGTTTTCGCACTATTCTATTTGTTTTATAACGGAGGCTCCAAAAGTTATGAACTTTAAGCCTCTGTACAGGCGTTAATTTTCAACCAAACATGATTCCGAAAGCATCACTGTAATCTTAAAGACGTAATTAAGAGACCTATTATAAAATATCACCGTTTTTTTGACATTAACATTCTCAAATTCTGCATTAAAAAACAGTGCGTTTTTTGCTTATAAACAATTTGAATAACATTGTTGCTATTTATGCTATCTCACCGAAAATAGATGCAATAGATAGGTGGCAAAAAAATACAGTTTTAAAATAAAAAAAGTACCCTCTACGACCAACAGGAGCCAGGATAAGATTTTTTTTTAAATCGTAGCGCAATTGTTTATAAACATTAAGGCTTGAATTTTTCGCAAAATAAAGTTTACGACGTAAACTACGATTTCCCGTGAATTGCATTGAAAAATGTGGAAAATTAACGACTCACGAGCCCTTTAAAGAGAA